TAACTCGGGAACGTGAGAAGCTAGAAGACTGGAATTTTAAAGGGATATTTCCTGACAGTCCTGGCGCCCAGTTTGAAATTCTTTTAGCTAGAAGCATCTGCCGGAAAAACCAGTGCCGCTAGCGACAAAAATCTGCGGGGAGCTAGGCAAAAAACGCATTTCCGCACGGGCAGCGCGTGCGTTAGCCAATTATTTAATTTTTTAGCATGTTTTATTTATACGTGGCATCACGAGTATCTTTGTTTGAAAATTTGCATGCATCCACATTAAAGTCACAGTGATGAATTCGTAAAATGGTCTGAAAAATGGTGCCAATGAACGGAGCGATCAGTCAGAATGAGGGGAAAAGTCACGGAATTATAATCAGTTTGTGTGTGAGGCGGCTTATCTAATCACATATTTCACCCCCGACACTTGCGTAGACTGGGAAGCTGAATTTTGTGAGAAAAAGCTTGGATCGTATACGAACCTTTAAAAATTAAATCATTTCTGAATTCACCTTGATCAGGGCACTGAGAGAGCTGAAAATTGATCTCAGACTTTAATTCAAACAATTTATCCACGGACTTTTATAGTTCTTGAAGTTTACGCTCATCTTCCGCTTAGTGTGTTGCGAAAGATTAGTAAGCTAGAAAAAGGTTATCGGAAAACACTACCCTAGCCTCATTTTTGCCCAGATTGAAAATTGGATACTGATGTGTCTGAAAATAAGACCACTTTGTTCCTTTTCCATAAAGCATTAGCAAAAGTTGCTAGTATGAAAATTAAAGTGTACTGTACCGTTAGACTGTAAGAAATTTTTGCGACCAAGATGATCAATAGATAAAAAAATATCTGTCGATGTGGTTCGCAGCTCAAAAATGCTCTTCCTTGTGTATTTTCCGAATGCATCCTCTTCGAGGAAGTAGCGGCTGCTTCAGTGCTAACCGATCTTAGGCAGCTCCAGTTCATTTTGTTATGCGATGTGCTTAGCTGTGATCCGGAGCAGTGAAAAGCAGAAAGAAGCTCATCAAGGATAGTCGTGCCCCGCGATAATGCTCGGTAAAATGAACTGGAAAGGTGACTGAAAATAGATCGCAAATAGCACAGGCATTGCAAGTGCGATGATTGAAAAAAGGGTGCTTTTAGGAACAATGATTGCATGTGCCTTATGTGTTGCCAACCCGAATGCATGCAAAAATCCGATGTGGTATACGAAATTCTGCTTGCTACTGCAGGTGAGCAAAATATCCGCTATTTTTTTCTTCAGCTTCATTTTCAGTAATGTATCGATTTGCCAAAATCGTTTGAAAGTTCATTATGGATTTTCGATATTCAGGGGACTAAGAAGCAAGGTATGTTCGGCTCTCATCACCTAAAAGAACGCTTCCTGGCAGTTATGGAACATTCATCTGGGTAGACCGTAGTTCGTTTACTCTCTATCATCCGATCCTTTACAGCCACAACAATCGTCCACTGAAAGGCGTCCCATAATTGTCATGCCATCTTCAGCTTGTACGCCTAAATCACATTTTTAGTGGGCACAACTCTCTTTTGTAAATTGTTGTGGACCGCAAGAAGAAAGAATTACTCGTCTTCACATCTGGATGAGGCGTACTAACAGCTGTACTACCAGCCTAAAACTGTTCCTGAAACAGCCTGGGAGCAATTTTTCTGTGTTTCTGCCTTTAAGGAAGGACACACTTTTTTTGTTTGCTTTTCTAAACAGTGCACAAACTTGCGCCAGCTTCTTTGCCGGTTTTTCATGGGTTTCCGCAAAGGCGCACTGTGAGCTGCGAAAGGGAGTAAAATATAGCACGTATCGTTGCAGTTAAGAAAGCAACTGATGCAAATTTTCTGCAATATAAGCATGAATTCAGGCGGAAAAAATCCGTGCACGTCATGTTTAGGGAGTCGTTTCCAATTGCTGTCTTCAGAAGTGCAGATAACTGTGCTTAAATGAAATGCTCAAATCATTACTTGATCACGATCGGAATTTAGCCAGGACAACAGCGAAATCATCTGAAAGACATTCAGACGCTCTGATTACTTCGACAACACTCTGCGTTACGAAGAATTTTGAGGCATCGAAATTGCGAATCACTTTAACACTGTCAGTTCCAGGAATTGCATCCTGATAATATGCGTCGCGCTTCTTCCTCTCAAGGCACAGATCACGTCACACTTTTATCAACCAAGCAGCCAGCCGACAGCGTTCCAGTGCAACTAAGGTAGCAACTAAATTGTGCTGCTCGCCTTTCACTATGCTTAATTCATAAAAATTTGTATGCATACTAAGATTTTCCCAAAGCGTTGATTTGGATTCGTTGCGAGATTGCCCTACAAACCAAGCGAAGCTACGCCTTTTCGTCCTGTATTGCATATTTCTAGTTATTGCCTACCACCTGTTTAATGTACGTGAGAAGGATAGCTCACTCTCAAGGCTGAGTAAAACTCATCGAGGAGTCTTGTTAATGAGTTAGTAATATTCCTCGTGAACAAGGGAGCAGTAGAGTCGGTCGTCGTTTTCCAAATCTTCCTTATGCTCTTTCAAAGAAAATTATTAATTGATGGAGCCATACGGAGTAAAAAAATTACAGGACAAGAAGTGGCAATAGAGCAACAATAGCAATGTTAGCACCAGCAGTTCACGTGATGCATCATGTGTGGAGGGGCATGGCTTGGGTTGCTGAAGATATTAGCGATGAGGATGAACGGGTCACAAGCAGCAAAGCGGTACGCTTTGTAACTCACCCATATTTCTAAGAGTTTAAAATTACTTCGAGTGTTTTAAAACAATTGGAATGTGTCACAGGCAGTCAGGCGAATTCCCGGCTTAAAATTGCCTGTTTTTGCATCAGTATTAGCCAAAATCAGGTGCGCCATCAGCTTGCTTGTAAGCAACCATCATAAAAGGGAGCCACTCGTAGGCTTGTCAGAGTGTGCTGCTTGCTTTTGACATTTATTTGCTACCCTTGAAATACTTCTGAGTACCTCCGCCTCTCATTAGAGTGCGAATACAGCGTGGGATTTGACTGGCCTTTTCAGAAAATTTTTAGGACTGCGCTTTGTTTCGAAGTCTGTTTGACTGTCTCATCTCTATCTCACGCCTTTGTCGAATTCCTCTTCGCAGCCTGAATATGGGTCCAGTGCAGCAAGGCATGCCTGAATCGACAGCGATGGAAGAAAAATTTGTGAGAGTTCACATTGTCAAGCCAATTAAAGAACAATTTGCACGGCATCAAAATTTACACACTGCTCCATTAAACATTATAGTTTGGCCATCTTTCTTGCTGCTCTGTAAAAAATACGAGCCATCATTGATTGGCTACTCCTTTCAGGATGTATCCATAAGTGAGCACAGTCTGAAGCGACTTTCGGTTATCATTGAATCGAGCCCTATTCAAGTAAGTAATGTCTGAAGTACCACTCGTTTAAAAAACTAGAAAAGCTGTGGAATTATGGCTTTGGATTACACGCGCTAAATGCCTCATTAATCGTATCAAAAAACAGCTTGAAACTGTTTTGAGCATCGAAAAAACCAGTAAGAAGAAAGGGGC